CAACCAAGCACACTCACATTCACACCTACGGACAATTTACAATCACCAATTAACCTCAGCATGTTTCTGGACTGTGGGAGGAAGCCGGAGAACCCGGTGTTATGTCCCGGTCTAGGGGAACCTTTAGCATAACTTGAGTTTTGCTCCGCAGCAGTCTTTGCACTTCAGAGAAGTTCAGCAATCAGACAAGCCAAGTATCAAAAAGAGTAGTTTCTTTTATTTTTACAGTAACGAGGGGGACATAGGCCAAAATAACAAACAAGACACACTCTACATAAGCCCTGACTTCCCTGTTGAAAAAGAAAAAGCAAATAAAAGACAATATCTTAACTACCTACCTAATGAACAAAAAACAAGAGAAAAAGGGTTTAAAAGAAAAAGGCCTCTCCCTCCTGCTCTGCTCTCTACAATATTTACAAAGATTCACAAAAAGACACAGAACCTGTAGCGCACGGCTACGACTACAAACAAGTCACTGCTGCATCCTCCTGCAGTACAGTCGCGATGGCCTGCTGGCTCTCTCTGAGGTGGAGGCTGGAGGGGAGGACAACGAGTGCAGCTGGTGGGCTGTTCAAGTAGTGGATGGGCCCGCCCTTTGACCAATTGCGTGGCTGGAATCAGGCGAGGCAGCCAATCCAGAGTCACCGCCTGCTCCTAATCCATTCACTCAAAAACCACACACACACACACACACACACACTGAGGGGAGAAGGCAAACAGCAAAAACACAAGAAACACTATAGATGACCCACAGGGTCATAACACTGGAGAGAACCCACGCTGCACGGGGAGAACATGGAGACTCCACGCAGGAAGATCCCGGGTGTCCTCACCGGGACGCCAACCGGCGACCTTCTAGCTGTGAGGCTACGGTGCTAACCACTGATCCACCTGCAGCCCAAATTTACATGTCTAAAATAAAATAACATTAAAAAATAAGATCTATTAATGTACAATATTTTATGTAAGGCTAGATGTAAAAGTAATATAATCTACAATTAGCAGTTTAATGAGGGTGACTTTAGACTTTTTAGAAATTGTGTAGGTGTACGATGTCACGACCGGCTCCAGGAAGGACACAGAGCGCCACACATGATCAGAGAAACTTACATTTATTTCAGCCAAACAGACTAAATATGTGTGTGTGGATAAGTGGCAGCTAATGTGTAGAAATGTGGAAAAATAACAACCCATCCAACTGCTCAAAGTCCAGGCCCAGCCAGAGCCAGCGGCTGATTCCAGTCAGCCTGCAACGCCGATGAACAACCAACAGGTGTCAGCCGTCAGCTGATGGACTTCCTGTTCTTCTCTCAGGGAGCCTGAACTCCAGCAGCCCAGACAGGAAGTTCAGGGGCTATCACAACATACATTTTTAAGATAAGGTAAGATAAGATCAGCCTTTATTTATCTCACAGTGGAGAAATTCACATTGTTGTTAGCAGCATTAAACACAGAGATACACACATATGAGACAGAAAAAAATGTACATATAAATATAAGAAATAGTGCAAATAACATTAAAGATCTGACTTTTTTAATAAAGTGACATTTAAGAACTCTTATTACATTTTATATGATCTCAAGTTAACAGCAGATTGTTGGGGTTTGAAACCAAATTACAGATTTGGCACATTTTGAACATATTTGTATTATAACATTAATTAGCCACGTTAGCGGCTAGTTCTATGTTTTAGCACATGTAAATGGTGTTTATGCTTTTGTGTTTTTAGTATTTGTTTTTTTTTATAGGTTTAAGTTTGTGTGTTTTTTAATGTTGTTGTGTGTTTTGTTTGTGTTTCTCTGTTACAAAATAAAAGTTTTAATTCAAAATTGAAGCTTTTTCAAAACTTTAACATTTTATATTGAAAGCCGGACACCAAAGCGGAAGCGGAATTGCTGCTGAGTTTAATTGTGTTTTATTATGAAGGCGCTGACCGGATCCTTCCGTGCTGCGCAGCATGGTATTGACGCATGCGCCGCTGCGGCCGTACGGCGGCTCGCAGGGCTCAATCCGCGCCGCGCCGCCGCTGCTGGGACGATGGGAGACGTTCTGTGCGAGGAGCTCGAAGATTTAGTTCATTTCACGGTGACCGACCTGCCGGCACGAGGCTATGTTGTCATGGAGGAGATCCGACGTCAGGGGAAGCTCTGTGATGTCACGCTCAAGGTAAAAAACACGACGACGCTCGAAGCTGAAGTAGCTAGCTGCTAGCAGGCTAACAACATGCTAACAGGCTAACAGCGGATTATTACAGCGAGCTGACCGGTGAGTTAGCACCAGCAGCTAACAGGCTAACAGCTGACCCCTGACCCGCATCACTGTCACGGTCACTGATCAGGCAGCGGCTCACGTGACTCTTTCACCTGGTGGGCTTCAGGTGGAAGCTGATCAGCGCGAGGAGTTGATCAATAGAGCTGATCGGCAGGTGTCAGGAAGCAGCAGCGGCACGTCACACACACCTGCTGACAGCTGCTCAGGTGAGTCCTGACAGGAGGTGACGTCCGAGCTGCTCTGATCCGAACCGATCCGAGCTGAGCTGACGGGAGACCAGACAGAAACTAGAATATAAGTGAGTAAAAGAACTAAGTGAGTCTGAAAGAGGATCCCAAGATGTCAGATCGAATTCTGAGATAGAATAAATATAAAATAGTAAAAGATGAAGAGCCACAAAAGACATGAATCATGTTGATGGGCCTGAAGGAGGAAGTTTTTATCTGCTGTACGGACCTGATCTCCCAGCAGCCTCGGTGGTGGAACCGTGAAGAGATATCAGACGTTTAAACGGATGTACAGGTGTTCGTGCTTCATCAGGAGCTCGAGTACCAACAGACCCACAGATAGACCCGTTTAACCGCCCGTCATGTTCCGTGTTCTCCACAGAGATGCTGTTTAACGTGTCCATCAGACGACCTGATCAGTGGAGGACACATTCAATTATTGGGCCTTGAAAATAAAAAAGATCTTCAATCCAGGAAGGTGCTGATCCAGATAGTTCCTGTCAGTATCTGTCTATGGATGGATCCATGTTCCAGCACCTGTTGAGGCTCATCAGCACCACCTGAGGGTCCAGTTTTTTGCTGTTTTGAAACTATCTATACAATTACAGAACCCACAAAAGCCCTTTCTTCCATTTGCAAGGTCCAGCAGTTAAACTGTGTCGTGCTGGATCAACCATCTGATCCGTCTTCGTCTCCACATTTCATGGCTGTTGGAGTTTTATTTGTGCAGATGCTGAGGTCGTCAAAGATCACCTCTGGACGTAATGTATTAACTGCTATTAATGAATCAGGTGATATTGTTTAGAAGCGACAGTAAACGGTGATGAACGTTAGTTTCCCTCAGACAGAGCAGACGTCTTCAAATCGTCATAAAAGTAATAAAACTGCAACAATCGATTAGTTATCACCTTTTAAATTAGTTACCAGCTATTTTAATAATCAAACAGCAGTTTGAGTAACTTTCTAATTAAAAGAATGTTTAATTTCTGTCACTGCAGCTTCATGAACATCTTCTGGTTTCTGGTGACAGTAAACTGGAGATCAGGAAACTCTGATCCACTTGTTACAGACCGAACATCTGATCCATTTGTGTTCATTTAAGAGTTTTTCAAAATTCTGTTTGCAGTCAGTTCTGGTCTGCATGTGTCTCGTTGCAGTTGTTTCACATATTTGTGAGGATTTTGCGTTTCTCATTTTCATCAGTTCGTCTCTTTCTGGTTGTTTCTTGCATCCGTTTCTACTCAGAAGATTTTCAAACAGAAAGTCTTGACATCTGAGAGGCTTTAAACAGCAAAAACAGTGACTGATTATCACGACTGTGTCTGCTTTCCCTCGTATTGATCAGCGGTCCTCTGATATCAGTGAGCTAGTTCACGCTGTCGACAGGCTTTCAGAACCGATCAGGTGTTGTTACATGGAGAGCGTCACCTGTCCTCCGTCTGCTCGCACGCTGAGCTCACTGTAATCCTCTTAATGTCTCAGCATCCAACCTGCTGAATCTGCAGCTGCAGCAAAACCTGGAGCACAGTGAACGCACCACAGCCGACACCTCTGGACAGGTGAGGACAGGTAGGGACAGGTGAGGACAGCGTACATCATGAGTGTTGTTGTGTCTGCAGGTCGGGGACCATAAGTTCAGCGCCCACCGGATCGTTCTGGCCGCTTCCATCCCGTACTTTCACGCCATGTTCACCAACGACATGGTGGAGTGTAAACAGGATGAGATCCTGATGCAGGGCATGGACCCCAGGTAACCCAACACCTGTACCGGCAGCACACACCAGTCAGAGACCAGTCTACTCAATGGATCCAGTGTAGCCAGTATTCCCAGTATACACAGTGTAACCAGGATGCCGAGTATAACCAGTATAGCCAGTATAACCAGTATACCCAGTGTAGCCAGTATAACCAGTTTACTCAGTGTACCAAGTATAGCCAGTGTAACCAGTATACCCAGTGCAACCAGTATAACCAGTATACCCAGTATAGCCAGTATAACCAGTATACACAGTGTAACCAGTATAACCAGTATAACTAGTATAGCCAGTGTAACCAGTATACCCAGTGTACCAAGTACAACCAGTATTCCCAGTATACACAGTGTAACCAGGATGCCGAGTATACCCAGTATAGCCAGTGTAGCCAGTATTACCAGCATAACCAGTGCCATGTGTTGCAGCGCTCTGGAGGCTCTCATCAACTTTGCGTACAGCGGCCATGTTGCCATCGACCAGCAGAACGTCCAGTCTCTCCTGATTGGCTCGAGCTTCCTGCAGCTGCAGAACGTTAAAGACGCCTGTTGCTCCTTCCTGCAAGAGAGGTTAGTGCCGCGTCACTGCACGCGCTCAGTGTGCTGCCACAGGTGTTACAGCCACGTTCAGAGGTTCCTCTGTGCAGCGCTCCAACTGTGATGTTGAGTAACTCGATGTCTCCTCAGGTTACACCCTAAGAACTGTCTGGGAGTCCGCCAGTTCGCCGAGACCATGATGTGCACGACGCTGTACGACTCGGCCAGCAGCTTCCTGCACCAGCACTTCGTGGACGTGTCCTTATCGGAGGAGTTCCTGGGTCTCAGGACGGAGGAGGTTCTGGAGCTGGTGGGCTGCGACGAGCTCAACGTCAAGGCCGAGGAGCAGGTGACGTCTGCGTGATGATCATGTCTTACCTGTGCAGATGTTTGAGTCATGTTTCGCCTCTGCAGGTGTTTGAGCTGTGTCCTACCTGTGCAGGTGTTTGAGGCGGTGCTGGCCTGGGTCCACCATGACCGGGACCGGCGGGAGACGCTGCTGCCGGAGCTGCTGTCGAAGATCCGGCTTCCCCTGTGTCGACCTCAGTTTCTGTCGGACCGAGTGCAGCAGGACGACCTGGTTCGCTGCTGCCACAAGTGCAGGTGAGAAACACACCTGGGATGTCAGAAAGCGGAGGAAACAGCTTCCTGTGGCTCTCCTGACACTGAAGTCTGTTTCTGGCAGAGATTTGGTGGACGAAGCCAAAGATTTTCACCTGATGCCAGAGCGCCGGCCTCACCTGCCCACCTTCAAAACCCGACAGAGGTGCTGCACGTCCATCACAGGACTCATCTACGCCGTGGGAGGACTCAACACCTCAGGTACGCTGCTCACCTGTCCCTGAGAACACACCTGCTCGCAGGGCGGAGCTGACGGAGGCACCTCTGTCTCCGCAGGTGACTCTCTGAACGTGGTCGAGGTGTTCGATCCAATCGGTAACTTCTGGGAGCGCTGTCAGCCAATGAGGATGACTCGCAGCAGAGTGGGTGTGGCTGTCGTCAACGGGCTGCTGTACGCCATTGGCGGTTACGACGGCCAATCACGGCTCAGCACAGTGGAGGTTTACAACCCGGAGACAGACAGCTGGACGCGTGTGTCGAGCATGAACAGCCAGCGCAGGTCAATACACCGATCAATACACTGATCAATACTGTGGCTTAAACACCGGTCATTGCTGCCCACTCCTCTGATCAATACACTGTACTGTAAACCGGCAGAAATAAAACCTGTTGTTGTTTCAGCGCCATGGGAACGGTGGTGATTGACGGACACATCTACGTGTGCGGCGGCTACGACGGGAAGTCGTCTCTGAACTCAGTGGAGTGTTACGCACCTGAGACGGACAGGTGAGCTAATCCTTAACTCAC